GGATTTTCTTAATTTTCACAAATACTCTGTTCTTCCTCATCTCTTGTTGTCTTTCTCTGTCATTCCTCCATCACCAATACTACCAGTGTGCTCTCCCATTGTCGCCTATTTGCACCATTAATGATGCCTATGTTTCTATAAACACTGTCACCAACAAAGTTTTAGAAATGCTAGGCGTTGAACCAAGCCTCTTGTGCTTTGGGGCCTATTTGGGCATGTAATCTTCACGTATGTGTTTTTAGAGGGGGAATGATTCTTTTTGAAGATTCAAGATCCTATCCTCACAATTTGCCTAATATGTAATTAGATAAAGTTTCGATCTGATCCATTTTGACTTGGTCCATTCTCTTCATCCGTTACTATGACTAGGCGACCAGTATATACCTTTTGATGTGATGCTATTAACGTAAGTGGCCCATGCTCTCCCAGGAGCTCACAAGACCTAGGCATGCTCTCCTAGGAGCTCACAAGACCTAGGCGGGTGGTCTAAGTACCGCTTCGGTCTAGACATGTGCCCATACTGTTTTTTAAAACAATGATCACCAACTTCAAAAATGACTTTTGTCTCTGCACTAATGTCATTGACAAACTTGCTAACACTACTGACCCTGCTAATGCAGCACCGACCACCACCACCAATGATCTACATGTTGCCACTATCACCAATACTATCATTCTTGCCAGCACTGACATTTTACCTGCTGTTGTCATAATGTTTCTGACAGCACCAACATCAGCATCCTCATTCTATACAAGTTAAATCATGGGAATATCATTTTACTTGGCATGTGTACGCACTGTATTTTTTGTGGATTCTTTACATTTAAACACAGGAATATCATTTCACTTGGCATGTGGAGATTGTGCATATTTACCACAACGTCGTCACTGCAACCACCCACTCAATGTTGTCGCTGCCACCTTTGGCACCGGTATCTTCATGATATGGAGGGTTAATATGGGAAAACTGTGTTTACTGTCATATCCTTGGATTGTTTTATTTTTATTTTTATTTTTATTTTTTGCATCAAACACATGCATCATTATCTGCCTGCACTTGATGTGTCTCCACATCCAACCCTCTTTTTTCAAAGTACTTTATTATGAATCTATGAGCTCTACTGGAATTCACAACCAAATGTGTCTTAACATCCAACAACCATGCAAATCATCCTATCTAGCATCGGATAAACCAATTTGATTGAGTGTAATTTCCGTATGATCATTACAATTCTGTGGAATAAAATAGTTGACCTAGCGTAGTTTAATGTTTGCTGCAACAAATCACACTTCAAAAATCCATTAAAGTTGAGGTGAGGACAGAGGTGATCTAGAATCATAGAAACTGGTTTACTCCTTGTAATTGAAATATTATCTCGGTCATGAAGGTTCATGTCTACTTTTGAAGGAAGATCAGTTTTGGCATAAGAATGAATTAGTTGGCTCAGATTTGGAAAAAGTTTTCTGTGAGGTTTAAAAGAAGATGGTATAGTATACATTGAGAGTTATCGATCAAGGAGTCCTTGTCTTTGATAAAATTGAGATAAGGTGTACTTGAGGTAGATTGATTGGTACACAGCTTGAGATGCAAGCCTATGCTCATTCTCTACTAAAAGAATCCGGGCTTTTGTTACCAGAATATGCTTCACTTGTATTCCTTTCCTCCCTTGGTTTTCTTTTCTGGTGCTCATAGCATTGCATTTTAGCCGATGAAGCAAGTTTCTCATTTGTTGAGAAGCCACTTTGCACCTGGACCTAAAATCCAAAAGTTCTTGTCACGAAAGCACTTCTTGATCGCTATAAAAAAGCACTTCTCGATCCGATTCGAAGATGTCTATATTGTCAGATTTCGGATATCTTTTTCTTCTACTCGAAATGATGATTTGATGCTCTCCCCTTATAAAAGGATTATTTATGTTTTAGTATGAAATAAGCTTGATAGCACGATATAAAAGAGTAAGCCCTTTTTAAGTGTGGAAAGTGTAAATTTCCTGCCTAATAAGAATGAAATATAAAGAGAGGCAAGAGCTAGGGTATATTAGATATGAGCTGCCACTACCTTTAGCAAAATGAGTTACAAAGAGATGAAAGCTATGAGGTCCACCCTCTCCGATGTGTGTCACACAAGTTCATCATTGGGGAGCTCATCAAGTAAAATGAGCTGCTGCCAGGATATCCATTATAGTGTATGTTTGCGGGTATGTATATATAGACATCTGCGTACATAGTTACATACAACATAGATATATACGTAAACATTTATTTGTGTGTTTCTGTGTGCATGTGTGTGTGTATTCATACATACATATGTATATGTTTATATGTATAGACACATACTGTCATATATAGATTTCATCTGATACTGTAAGTAGTGTCCAAGATGTGGATGCTATCAATTCTGATTTAAATTTTGATTGATAAGTTGACAATCCACACGGTTAGATATGATCTAGTACATGTCAGCTACAGGAAAAAATTGTGAGGGATATGAACATATCTTGCTCATGTATCATATGGTGTGAAGATCAATGTTCCGGAATTTTCGTGAAATTCTGTAAGATCTTTCCCTTGATACATGATTAAAAAATGCATCAAATTATTGGGAATTTTATTTCTACGTGGTTCATGTGTTTGCAATCACATCCATTGATAGGGATTGAATACTAAATAGCATTAATAGTATTTAGACTTAGATTGATAATATCAACATATTGAATGGTTACCAAATTGGCATTTTTGATAAGGTATTTTTTTCTTTTGCTTGCGACATCATGGCATTAAAATCAAAATAATACCAATCTGGTTATTTTTCTGTTACTAAATATGCCAATGTGGTTATTTTTTCTATATAAAATAGTACCAAATTGACGTTAAACATTGATATTAATACAATGATGTCACAAGTGAGGAAAAAAACCATATTGGAAATATGTTCCTACTAAAAATACCAATCTGGTAACTTAGCCCATATTGAATATTAGTG